AGAGCGTAAGGAGATACATCCACTCTGTTTACTGCCACTGGCAGTCAGGAGGGAACAAAACAGAACCTTCCCCTCACCACCATCCTAAGCTTAACCCAGTATATCAGTCTAAATATTCCGTTAAGCGTGTTTGAGAGGAACGATGAAACACAAAGCAAAGCTTAGCATGCGCAAGTTGGTTAAGGTTAGGATGGGGGAGAGGGGAAAGTTAAATACCAAGAGGGTAAAGGTCACAATTTGGACAAATATCCATTTTACCGCGGGCGCCGGATACCGACGCTCTGGCACAGCTCGTCGCCTCCTGACGCATAGGCTCCCTACACGTCAGAAACAAACACTTTGTCACACCGCATCATTTTTCGATGCTTATCGTGTGAGAATGTGTTGTATTGTTGCGGTTCTCACTTGGTTCAAGTTTGTCTGCCCTGTGGGGGCTCATGGTGGCTTGGAGTCTCCAGGTAATTGCCTGCCCTGCCTATCAGCATTCCGCACCTCAGCTCGGGGCTTTAAGCTTTAGAAGGGGTAAAAGCAATCGTCAATCATGGCAAGGCAAAAATAAAAGCATGCTTCAAAGTGGAAAGGTAATGTCAAAATTTAATTTTTTGTATTTTGATGACTGAAATGTTTTTGTTTGGAGACCAAAACAAAACTGTGATACAAACGTGATCAACTGCACAGGCCTGTGATCAAATATTCCAGATTTTACAAGAAAATGCATATAAATGTGATAAAAGATCAAATGAAATCAGCTGAATTATGTATCCAACAGCTCAACACCAACTAATGTTACTCATTAGAAAGAAACACATTTAAAAACGATTCCAAAGTCTCAATAATCATACTGGAGCTTTCAAGAAAGATTGCTGAGTGCAGCACATGTCGAAAATTACACTGGTGCTGTACTCAGCACATAATGCCAAGTCACCATGGTAACAGTGGATGCAACGCACTTGCTGATGGCGACGGAAGACTATTCATCATCGCATCATCTATTCCAGTTTGAAAAGCGGTGATTAAAATGTGAGAGAAGACACCAACAAATCGCGTGTCCGCTGGTCCACCGGCGCAAAGCCCGAGCCCTTACGGGTCACGTCGTAGCTTCTTCTAATAATGCAATTGATCTACAAAATCAGACATGATCAATATCCACACGCGCGTGCTATCAGATAATAATAAAAACACGGGTGATTTTCCAAACTCTCGTGTTTTTGCGCCACAAGCCTTCGGCGCTCTCGTTTCTCAAAGTTGCATAACGCTTCGGTCACATCGTGATGTTTTTCAAGAATGTCTCATCGCTCATTGATACATTTAGAAGGATTAAACCTCACAGCACGTCTGGAATAAAACAACAGCGTGCTGATGTTTTCCCTCGAGGAAAACCGATAACAGACCAAACACCCAGACATTTACACTGAAATTTTCTCCTCTACCTTTCCGCAGATTGAAGGATAGTTGGGCTTCAACGAGGTACGGGATGTCGCTCTTGGAGCGGAGTCTCCTGATCGGTCTTCGGTCTGTGCTGCTGGCTGCTGGAGTGGTCGCCATCAATATAAACCCAGTGTCCAGGGATGACTGCTGGCCGACTGGGACTGAAGCAGAACCACACGGTCACACACACACACACACACACACACAAACACACACACACACACACACACACACACACACACACACACACACACACACACACACACACACACACACACACACACACACACACACACACACACACGCTGGGAGGCGGTCACCGATGAAAAGGAGGAGGGTTACGCAAACATACGTTGTGAAAATTACATTTCCTAATAAAATATCTTGATTCAACCTGCTTTCTGTCGAAAATCATCAATTTGTAATTCTGTAATCCACAAATGATTTACTGTTTTCTAAAGAAGACTGCAATTATAACAATAAAAATAAAATACAGCTGCCCTCAAAGTATCTTTTTTTAAATCATTTGTACAGCTAAAGGATTGTGAGGGGTTTTCATCGCTCAGGATGTTTTAAAGAGGGCAGACAAGAGGTACAGTTTAATACAAAAAGTAATATATTCCCTATCTACTGAGTCCAGCAAGAAACAGTGGGTAAAGGTAGATAAATAAATATAAAATAGACGAATGGAGACTGTAAAAATGTAAGAAAAACACATTTTCATCAAAAAATAAATAGAAACTGGATTGCGAGTGACTGACAGTTGCTCTCCATGGTGCTGAAGCCAGACAGTTAATTAGAAATAAAATAAATCCTCATTGTTTTAGAGCATTTTTAAAACCTTATTTTTGAGAAGAAGCCTGCAACTATCAGGTGTGAGATTTTTACCATCTCACCCTCCATAACTTATTCAGATAAGCACATTTTGGCTGACCTTTGAAATGTCTGTTCTGTTGTTCATTCTGTTTCTCTTATTAGGACAGAAAAGAAGAAACTGGGGGGTACAAGCAAAAAATGTATTTCTTGCTTAACTGTGAGCTAATCCAGTTCTCACGTTTTTTGAAAATAAATTACATGCGCCCCGTTGCAAATAAAACATTAAGTTGTTATTTAAAATCATACAAGGAGGATAAATAAATGTTGCCGTTATTCAAATTTTCTCAAAAGGCCACATCAGTGCTTGATGTTTTCTTAGAGCATGGTATTTACTTCTACTTTTCATTTCTATAAGTATGTTGAAAATAATGTTTTTGGTCAGGAGTTGCATCAAGAAACCAGTCCAGGCTCTTGAACACATTGTGCCATGACCATTTTTAGCAAGCCACTTCTTGGTTCATTTCCACCACCAGCTGGAGTGGAGCGGGGCCAGGACTCTTAGTAATATTTAGGCCAATATGAGAAATTATAAAGAAAAATATAAAGGTAATACTGAAATGTTCTGAAGGCTTGGGACTATAAACCATTGTTAAAGGTTCATTCTGCCACCTGTTATTTATTTATTTATTTATTTATTTATTTATTTATTTATTTATTCATTTATTTATTTATTTATTTATTTTAATTTATATATATTTTTTGGTTTATAACCCTAAGCCTTTTGTGGAGAATATAATTGTAATTTCAATGGAACTCAATGGGGTTGCACCTGGGGTGGCCAATCAGATTCCAAGGGTGGCAATGTGCTACCCCAAGCCACTCCCTGGACACACCCCTGCATGAAACAGAATCAACATATTATAATGTGAGGTGACAATTAGCTCTCTTAAACAGAACGGTATGACTGCATTTTAAATACATCTGAAGGAGTTAAGTGCTCGCCCCGTAATCGGAAGGTTGCAGGTTCGAGCCCCGCTCAGTCTGTCGCTGTCGTTGTGTCCTTGGGCAAGACACTTAACCCACGTTGCCTGCTGGTGGTGGTCGGAGGGACCGGTGGCGCCAGTGCTCGGCAGCCTCGCCTCTGTCAGTGCGCCCCAGGGCAGCTGTGGCTACATTGTAGCTCATCCCCATCAGTGTGTGAATGTGTGTGTGAATGACTGGTTGTGTTGTAAAGCGCCTTGGGGGGTTTCAGGACTCTAGAAGGCGCTATATCAAATACAGGCCATTTACCATTTACCAATACAAATTAAGTTAAATCTGTCACTCAAATGAATACATCTTACTGCACACAATTGTGTCTGGCAAATCAAAATGTCTTCGATCAAGCTGCTCAAACTGTTTCATCATTTGTGAGATCCTGCAGAAGAAATTCCAGACACTTAGCAAAGGTTTGGACATGAGAATAGCTAAAACTACTCTTTTCTATTGCCATTTTCCAATGTCCAGTAATCAGAAGGTTGCAGGTTCGATCCCGACTCCTGCCAAAGAATGCTGTTGTTTTGTCATTGGGCGGTTGGAGTGATCAGTGGCACCAGTGTTTGGCACTCTTTCTATAGTCAGTGCACCCCAGGGTAGCTGTGGCTACAATGTATCTCATCACCACCAGTGTGTGAATGTGTGTGTGAAGGGTTGAATGTGTTGTAAAGTGCTTTGGGGGGTTGTAGAGGTGCCATACAAATACAAGCCATTGATCATTTCCATTTTTCAATGACACTGCTTCAAGTCTTCTTTGCCAAAATTAGGAGGAACATTTTAAAATGAGCCAAAGAGCCACATGACTGTGGATCCAGTTCTGCAGATTAAAGACTCATGTTTTAAAGCATTTAAAAGCTGGCTGGTACTTACTTATGATTTCACAATTAAACTTACAGCTTTAAATTTGCCCTTTTAGATCTGTGTGAAATATTTAACCCTTAGTTGAGTGGTTGCTATTTCAGTGAAGATCAGTAAGCCAACAAGATGTGTTTAAATGAACTATGATGTCACTATGAGTGAGAGGACAACCAGCTCCTTCAATCGGTTTGCACATATTTAACTCACAGCCATCAGTGAAGCTGCTGCAAGTATTTTTTTAATGATTTCAAATTTTGACCAATGAAAATGTTTTTGAAGCAAGTGTGTAAGGGTTTATTTGATTAGCCACACAATGGTAAAGCTGCATTATGCTTCAGCCTTGACTCATCTGACTCATTTAAAAGAATAACTGAATTCATCATTTTCTTTAGTTTGAATTTCACTTGCAGCAAAACAGTTTTTTGGTGAAAAACCAAACATCACATATACTTATAACAAACTGACTGTTATTTTGATCAAATGTATTTATTTATTTACTTACTTACTTACTTACTTACTTATCAACATTCTAAGTTATCATTGGTAACATAACAGAAGAAGTTGAATCAGGAAAATAACATTCTTCTTTGGGGAAGAGATTGCCAATGGATTTCTGAATTCAGGAGGGATGATTTCTTTTTTTGGTCAAATAATTTTTCAAAGATCATTCAAATCCAAAGTTAGCTTTACTCGATTTACTGTGGTACTGAGGATAACTTATCTTTACATAAAATGTTTATTTTTTGTTAATACATAGGAGATAATAATAATAATGATAATAATAATAATTATTATTATTGTTATTTCAACGGCTATTACAGTAGTTGCGCATGTTGACCGTTAGAGGGTGGACGCGATCCACCCGTCTTTCGACCTTGCCTGTTTTACGACACTGGGACGCACTTTTCGGCGTCTCTTGTTATTTACAATCGTCCAGGTAAACAAGCGTACTCGATGTAGCTTTCTGCTAACGAAAACAACTTTACATGACAAGGTAAGTACCAGTAAAGCTCCAAATATACGTTCGTTTAAAATACTTTTGTTGGGTCGGTATAATACCAAAGTATGTCGCCATGTTTGCGCAGTAGCCTTTAGTTTTTGCTAATGTTTAGCTGCACTAGCAGCTCACGTACCTCACGAGTTTAGCAACATGTTTGGAATGTGGATGATTTAAGGAATGTCGGAAAACAATATCAACTTGATTCTGTGTATTTTATTGAAATATTACAGAAACACACTTTTAGATTAATGTGCTTGTGTAAATTTACAGAATATCTACAACTCTGGCTCTGAGATTAGGTGAGGTGTAATCCTGGTTTGGTGCAAGAGGTTCTGCGTTCTTGTGAAACTTGTTTTTGGATGTTTGGGTTTTTAAAGCTAATGTTTGTTAATTTGCCTTTTCATTTAGATCTTAATCTCTCTGTGGTTTAACAGTTAGAGCTGCAAACCTATTATTTTAAAAGGAAGATGTGTGTGTGTGTGTGTGTGTGTGTGTGTGTGTGTGTGTGTGTGTGTGTGTGTGTCAGTGAGTGCAATAAAACCCAAACTGCCTCTGTAATGTTGCAACGGGGTTATATGACTGTAATAGCCCCATCTGGTGTTCTACTTTGTACATGTGTTATTTTATTTCTTTATTCAGAGATCTATAACATGAGAACAGTAACAGATTATCCATATTCAGTAATAAGTAAAATGTGGGTGCATTCATTTTATGGTTTCTGAAATGGTCATGAGTAATTAGAAAGATAATTGGCCTGGATAGTTTTTGCTGTTATTTCATATGGTTTCTGAGTTTCCAGTAATGTTAGTGTTGAAGAAAACTTGTGTTTTTAGTTGTAGTTTAACATATGATTGAACATGTAATTTTAATTTAACACATTTACAATGACATAATAACCCTTGGAGGTCCCATAGTACATTATTTTGACAGGCAGTAGTGTTTTTCTTTTTGTACAATGCAGATTTTTTTAAATAAAAACCTACCATCAAATGAGTTAAATCTAAAAAAACACATTTTATTATGTTTTGTGAGTGCTGAAGCCAAGTATGGAGTCTGTATTAAAAAATTAGGGATGTTCTGATTATGTGTTTATTTGCTCCTGATTCTGAGTTATTTGATTTTGAGTATCTGCTGATACCGAGTCCCGATCCAATACTTTTCAGAAAAGCATTAAAATAATAAGAAAAAGGCTTGCTAACTGCGGCACTTGGTGTCTGAGTCCTTGCTTGACGTTACTGCGTTGTTTTCGTACAAGAAACAAATAATATTGATAGTGATGGACTTTTTGAAATTAAAACCAAGCCATTTTTATTCAGTTAGAAAAATTCTATCTCAGGGTGAATTTAAAAATTCATGTTTATTGTTTAAAAAGGTTAAATTCGATTTATTTCTCCCAATTCCGATCCTTTAAAAAAAACACGTGATCTGGCTGATTTCCGCCATTTTTTTGTGTTAAGGGTCCCCAATGTTGCTTTTTTGGAAGGGACCTCCATTAATTGCTTTTTTGGAAGGGACCTCCATTAAAACAGTTCTTTAGGTAAACTATTAAAGCCATGCTTTAAATGACATTTTAGATTCTTTCATGTTTTTGTTGTCTCACATGTTTCATTTGTTCTTCTAGTGACAATGCTTCTCAAAAACAGAGCCATCTTTTCACTTGGCTTTCGCATGTGTTCTACGCACGTGACAAATGCACCACCAGTAGAAACGGCGAAACCAAGTTCAGGTAAAGGACAAACTAAATAAATAAATAAAAATACTTTAGTAAACCTATTTCAACTATGAAGAAATTGTTCTCCCATTCAGGCACAAAGAACAAGGAATTTATTCTGCAAATAGCTGGAATTAAAATGTTTGAAGTAGCTGTCAAAAATGTGTTGCAACATGATACATTTAAGTGTCAATAGCCGTATACTTTCTTTTCAAGCGCTGCTTACAACCTTACTGTAAAACAACTCAACTGTCCCTGTAAAAGCTCTGAGACCTGATCTGATGTTAGTAGGTATTTTTTCCTCCTTTGACTCCTAGACATGTCTGAATTCCGCAAGGCCTTCTCCAAAGCAAAACACATCGCGATCATCACCGGAGCAGGTGTTAGTGCAGAGAGCGGAGTACCAACTTTCAGAGGAGAGCATGAGAAGTGGAGGAAGTGGCATTCTCAGGTAATTCTAGGAAGAATGTGTCCACACGTGCATGTTGCATCTTTTAGTTCAATTCAAAAGTAAAAACTTTTTTTGCTCTGATTTTCGTTTTGTTTTGGATCTTTTTAGTGAAAATAAACGTATGAAAGCTTCACATATTCTGAAATTGTGCCTTTCTGACTATTCCCGCAGGACCTTGCCAGTCCAGAAGCCTTCTCTCGCACCCCGTCTCGGGTCTGGGAGTTCTACCATTACAGAAGGGAGCTCGTGTTGGACAAGCAGCCCAGTGCCGTCCATTTCGCCATTGCGGAGTGCGAGGCCCGGCTGAAGAAGCAGGGGCGCTCTGTTGTTGTTATCACACAGTGCATAGATGATTTGCACAGGCAGGCTGGGTCCAAGCATGTACTCCAGATTCATGGTGCGAGTTATAATTGAAGGTTGTGCTTTGTTGGTGGGTTTTTCTGCATTGTAACACATTTAAAAGCTGCTGTGTGTAATTGTAGGCAGTCTGATGGAGACACGCTGTTTGAGTTGTAGGCAAGTGACTCTGAACAAGGAAAGCCCCATCTGTGCTGCCTTGAAGGGCAAAGGGTAGGCAGCGCTTCACATTTACAACTCATAGTCTGATGCTTTCCATTTGACCCGTGCATGAGCAAAGTTTCTAACGTGTTTTTCTGTCATCGTAAAGAGCTCCCGGACCAAATGTTCCCGATGCTCAGATTCCTGTGGACAAACTGCCAAGGTGAGATTACGTTCACACCATAATAAGAATATTAGTGGCAGGATCATTTTGTAACTTCGGACGGTCTGATGGTGACCCACTGAGGTCACGCTGTGCTCAGCTGCACACAATGACCTTGGAATTTTCAAATTTTGTGTTCTGCAGCTGTAAGACTCTTTTAAACCATGTGAGGTGAAGGGTAGTCCACCCTGTTTAAGTACTAACAATGATCTATTCTTGCCGGGTGCTAAAATGATTGAAAACTAACAATAAGTGTAAAAAAGGCCACAATCTTATAAAAAAGGAAGTTGATTAGATTGTGTGTAAAAGAATGAGGGGAAAAGGTAAAAATTTGGCATATTAAAACATTAAAACAAGTTCTGCTTTTTTCCTTTTCTCGGGTATAAAAGGCTGACCAAAATAACTCCTATTTAAAATAAAAAAGACTTCTCAATAATGCCAACGGTGATACTTTATCATATTTTGTGCCTGACTTTGCTCTCAAAGGTTTAAACTAGCATGAGCTGGCTCTTCTAAGTTTTGACTTTTGGAAAATGGGAATAATAAATAGCTGCTTCTTATTTCTGTTATGCTTGCCTCCTTAACAGTGTACAGATTTAAGCTTCGTGTTCCGAAACAACTACGTTTGTTGTAGAAAATTTTGACCCTAAATTTTGCAACTGCCCCATCAAGGTGTGAAGAGAGAGACTGCCACGGTCTTCTGAGGCCCAATGTGGTTTTCTTCGGAGAGACTCTGGACTCTCATCTCCTGACCATGGTGGAAAAAGAAATTGAAACCTGCGATCTCTGTCTGGTGGTGAGTTCTCCTTATGGCACACATTCCTCCTCTAACATGTTTATGTAATGATGAATTTCTTCAGAGTCTGTCAAGGTCATGACCCCACGTGCACTACTTAGCAGCGAGATCTGAGGCTGACACCGAGGTTGTTGCTCTCTGTTGTTTACGTGCAGGTGGGGACGTCTTCCATCGTTTACCCAGCGGCCATGTTTGGCCCTCGGGTCGCTTCCAGAGGCGTCCCAGTGGCAGAGTTTAACATGAACACAACACCGAAAACAGAATATTTCATGTAAGTTAGTGAAGTAACTGAAAAAAAAATTACATTAACAAATATAAATACAAAGAGTTTTGGTGAATTTTATGATTTTTAATAAAGAAGTTTCATCAGATGCATTCTTAGAGTAATTTTCTACTGAAGAAATGACCTTCTAATCAGACTTTTTTATAACCTTAAATGTCTTGTTTTCTTTTATTTTTGTGACACAGGTACCATTTTCAGGGTCCATGTGGAACTACTCTGCCTCAAGCTTTGGCGCCACATGAGTCTGAAGTCCTTTAAATCCAACGCTTTCTTTTTTTCCCACAAAATATGACAAAAATGTGGGATTTCAGTACAATTTTCATAAATAAAATTATTTGTTTTCTAAAAACTAAATAATTGATCTCCTTATACTTGAATATAACTAACTGGAATCAAATTGACTGCTCAGACGCAAAGCAGGAAATGTGTAACTTGATTAGTGAAGGGGAACGCTTTCTGTACGTAGGAGTTTGCATATAAAAGGATCCCCCCCCCCCCCCCAAGATACTATTTTTAGCAGGAGATTATGGTTTAGAGTTGTTTCGCTCTAAAACAATGCTGTAGAATAGAACAACATTCGACTTCTTGTGCCAATGGATAGTATTCCTCTTTTCCTTTTCTATCCAATAAACACATCCAGAAATAAACGTGTGCCTTTCCAGACTCAAACCAAAAGCTTGGTTTTGAATTTTCAGATACGAGTCAGCCAGTGTTACGGGGATTCAGACGGTAGATCAGCCTCTCGCACTTACATGATGTTGGACGTTCATCTGACATTTGCTGGATTTTTTTCTGTTTTCTCATAGATTCATGTGTCATAATATCGCTAGAACTAAACAGAAATGTGAAAATTGATGTACTTTATTGTCTTCAAAGTAACATACAGTTGTTTCTGACTTTATTAATACTGCCTGTGTATTTGTATGAAGCATAACTAATAAACGACTTCATGGATACATGAAGATTTGTGTTTTTATTGATGTAGTTGTTTTAGTTTGTAATTTGGTTTTTATTTATCTCATATGTTTCCATAATGAACAACATACTACTCTATGGGCTTTCTTTATTATGTTGCTTTTTCTGTTATTTTTGTTGCTCATGTTACTTTTCTATTTCTGTTATTTTGTGTTCAGGTTTTTGTTTTTGTCTTCCAGAGTGTAAAAGTACTTGTACGGCTGATTTAAGCTGAGGAAGTCATCATGCTACTGGAAGGTAAAGAAAAAAGATGGCACCTTAAGGTGTCAATTTAAATCTTGATATTTTTAAAGCTTTTTTTTTTTTTTTTTTTACATTTTTTGAGAATTCCATAATTTGCCAATTAAAGTGACGAAAATCAAAAAGGAAATTTAAAAGAAAACTTAATGGTGCTTTATTCATCCAATCTGATGCATGGATTTTGACACTTGAAACCTGCAGGGGTAGTTTTACTTTTGGGACAGAATGGTGGTGCAGTCTCAGATTTGACTCCTGGCTGGAGCCCTTCTATGTGGAGTTAGCATGTTTCTCATGCATGCACAGGTTTTATCTGCGTGCTGGGATTTTCCACCAAAAACATGCATTCTGAGTCGATTAGCGTGATAGCTTGATGATGGAGTCATTGTTTTCCTCAGCAACCTGCATTTTTGCAGCCACATGTAAATTGTTTTAGCTTTAATCAAGAATGATGAACCCAAACAACTGAAGTAACTTTAATATGTTTAAATGCTTGAAAAAAATTTGGATTAAATCAATCCCAATCAGTCACATGTGGCTAGATTAAATCAAAAGTGATTGAATGTTATCACTGGTATACTCTGAAAAGAGAGAAATGTGCCAAATGTTTGTTTTAGCTGTTTTATTTTTACTCTGGTCATTTTGTAATCCCTCAGATTTGATGGACACCCGTCTAAAGACTTCCCTTGAACATATCTCAAACCATCATTTAGCGACTTTCAGCAAAAATTAAATATCTGCAGGTTTTGAACTGCTGCAGGGGCAGGTTGCATTTCTTATTTAATTGTAACAAAAGTTAAGATCAAAAGTAAACTCCACACACTTGTGTGTCTGAAAGAAAAAAATGGTGGACAAACAGGTACCATCTTCAGTGTCTCTGGGGAATCTCCACAGGTTGTTTAATTTAGTTTTAACCCAACTAGTATTTTCCTGCTGCTTTTTGTTTCATTTTTCTCCTCAGTTGGGATCCAAAACCAAACTTTGTATCTTTGTTTGTGATGAGATATTTTCATTTATCTTTGTTTGCCATCATTATCTTTAGATTTACTGATTTGCTTTAGTTTGTACTTACTTGAACAACAGCTATGGGGTTCGTTTTCAAGGCTCACGGCTTCATAAAGTCCATGTTTTGCACTGTAAAAAATAAAAATCCTCCAGGACTTGGGGTTAGATTTGAGACGAGTGTTTTCAGTCATGGAACAGGACATCAGGAGTGACTTTTACTCAAAAATGGAAGAAGCTGTGAAAACGACTTTTGATCATAATCACAGACACCATGTGAACGTTTACAGTGATATTTAAGGGTATGACTTACGTTTTCTAAATTTTATGTAGTTAAAAGATTTACATTCTGAGGGAGTGTTTGCATTTATGTTCTTGCACTTTTTTCTTCTTACAACTGGGAGAAATAAAAGACCCAAAGTAAGTCAGACCAAACAAGGAACTATGAACTTTACACATTTACATAGCTATACGGTAACACCCTGTTGGTCAACATGAGTTGAGTAAGACATGGTTTATTATTTAATACTTGTCTTATTTCTGTAGTTGTGTTTTCAGATCACATTTAAATTGTTTTGAAGAGTTTAAAGGTTACTTGAACAAAGTCTGAATGTATTTTAAAGAACCAATTAGGCGACTCCCTTTCAATCACTGGGGTAAACCCCAAGATGGGGGGCAACAAATATGCCACAAATTGGGGCATCAATTCCCGAGTGGTAGTGTCCAACCCCTAGGGCTGGACAATAATTCAATAACTATATATATCGATCAATAGACATGTGGTTTGCTTGGAAAAAAATGGATCGGTAAAAGTTTCCTTGTTCCATTATAGCCTATTGGGTAGCTTCATACTAAAGTCATTACTTACACCCAACCAATCAAAACACAGACCCAAGCACACTCCATCACCAAGCCCTCCCTTCTCAAACCTAAACAGACAGCAATGTGACTTAAGTAATATGTCGCAGCAAGGAGAGTTGGAAGAAATTGTCCTGAAAAAGGGTTCCAGTACTTCATCAGTGTGGCAACCGACTTGTTTTATCATAAAGTAATGGCCTAAGAGTGCCAGGGCTGCCCTTAAAGTATATTTAAATTTTTCATATAGTTTTCATTAATTATTGATATCAATCGATATACTTTTTTTTTTTATCGATACGCTTTTTTTCTGTATCGTCCAGCCCCAACAACCCCTCTCGAGGGAGCTGGGTCCAGGGCTAGAGCCATGAGTAGGTGAGTTCGACTGTATCCAGCTGGAATCTCATCCTCACACACCATCTCAGGTTCCTTCCCTACCAGAGAGGTGACATTAGACGTACCGAGAGCCAGCTTCTGTAGTCGAGGATTAGACCGCCTCGGTCCCCACCTTCAGCTACCACCCATGTCACATGGCACCGACTCCTTTAGCCCCTCCCATGAGTGGTGAGCCAATAGGAAAGGGGACCCACGTCTCATCTCTGGGCTCTTTTCACTTCAGCAAATTTCATGGGTAACAATCTGTTGTTGATAAAGTAATAAACAAGCTCACATCAGTCCACAATAAAGCTTTTTAATTCAGCTTTAATTTCTTAACCCTTTAATATCAAGGCCAACAACCAAAAATAAAAGTTATTTACTTTTTTCTATTTGGGGCAAAATATGTTATAATGTATTGAAGGCAAGGCATGGCAGCTTTATTTATATAGCACATTTCATACACAGAGGCAATTCCATGTGCTTTCCATTAGCAAGAACATTAAAATCAACATGACAGAAAATACATTTTAAAAATTAAAAAGAAACTAAGTTAAAGGGTGAGCAGATACAGTGCAGAAGGTGCAGCACAAGAACATTTATTCAAAGGATGAAATCATGAAGGTTTTCAATTTTGATTTAAAAGTTTCTATAGAGTTGAGGCACATTTGAGGTCAGGAAGCTGATTCCATGTGTGCAGCATAGTAGCTAAACGCAGCTTCACCCTGCTTGGTTCTTCTGACCCGCGATTTATTTTCCTAAGGATCTCAGAGCCCTGCTGGGCGTATATACCTGAAGGAGATCTGACATGTATTCTGGCCCCATGACATTGAGTGATTTATAAACTAGAAGCACTTTGAAATTAATTCTGTAGTTTACTGGTACCCAGTGTAGAGATTTAAGAACAGGAGTGATGTGCTTGGTTCTCTTGGTTCTTTAAGACTAGCAGCAGCAGTTTGAATAAGCTGCAGTTGCCTTTTTGGGACGACCAGTCAAAAGACCATTGCAATAGTCCAGCCTGCTGGAGATGAAAGCATGAATGAGTTTCTCTAGGTGTTGTCTGGACATGAGAAAGGTAAAAAATAGTGCTTAAATAACAATACTAATATCACTCGTGGTTCTTCTGTTCCAACAAGTTCATATTTAACTCAATTCAGCTAATTTTATTACATCAGCAATGAATCACAATCAAAGCAAGGACTTTGCACTGAAAAAAATTAAATATAACAGATCTAATTCAAAACTAAATGCATAATTTAATCCAATCTAATTCAATTTATTACAGCCCAATCTAGTCTAATAATTCCAATTTAGCTCAGTCCACTTAAATCTAGATGAGTGCAGCACAGGTAGACTCAAAAATTAATCCACTTCTGTTCAGTCAAATAGGTTTAGAATCAAAACAGAACATCAGCGGCCCGTGAAGGTCCAGGTTGTTTCTATTTATATCTGCTGTCACTTCACAACTCCAGAGTGCTGTTTGTCTCGCCTGCTTTCAAACTCATGCACACTCCCAAACCCTGACAAGAAACATGACGTAATCTCCTCACAGGCCCCCTAACCCCTCCCTGACCTTCGTGTGTTTAACAGCAACGGCTGTGTTGACAGTTTATAATTAATCCCACTGTTGACATGAGAGTTAACCTGATTTCTGAGTGTCCACTTCTCAGCCTTCCCACTAAGGCCATGAAAGTTGGATTATCCCAAAAAGAAACAGCAAATGAAGACACTTTTCATATTGAGGCACTTCATTCTCATGTCCACACACATTAAACAGATAACGCTGCTTCTGCATGGCCCAGTTGGGAGGGAGTTGTTGTTTGAGAAAGGCTCAAGAAATGGGCTCAGGTGCACGCTAATCTGTCCTAACGCTGCACTAATTAGGATCAAGGCTAGTCGCCACTTCTTCCTGGTTATTGATCACCAGCTCCCCCTCTCACAGAGGAGGTATTTGCTCCTGCGAGAGCAGCAGCAGCACAGGACACACACAACAGGAGGTTCTAGCTGCCTTGCACTGTTGTTTGTGTCTTTTGTTCTTGAGGTTAATTCATCAGGCCTTTAATAATCACACTCTGTTTTAATGTGACCCACTCAGGTTTCACTGTTCAAGTGTATAACACTTTTTTTTTGGAGTATCTTCATCACAATCCTTCACACCTTGTCTGAATTCTACTTCCTTTCTGAATGGATAAACATTTGAGTGATCAATTGCATTCATGTGTTTGCAGAAAATGTTGATTAAAAACCTGTGTGATCGCCAGAGGTGCATTTGTGAGCTTTATTTGAGTTTGTTTAGTTTTAAAAAGTTAACCGCCAAATAACCTGGATAAAAACAATCTGCAGCCATCATGCTGTGCTCCCCTCTAACTCTATAGCAGGGGTGTCAAACTCACTTCAGCTCATGGGCCACACTGAGGGAAATCTAGTCCCAAGTGGGCCGGACCGGTAAATTAAAAACAAGTTCAGATTGTTTTCTTTTTTTTAATACAATCAATATAAAACAAGGCTGGAGCCTGAG